TTCGCGAATTTCTACAGAAAGTTCATTAAGAACTTTTCGGGCCTAGTGTCCCCAATCACCCAGCTGACCAGGCAGGGGGTTCGCTTCCAATGGACACCCGAGGCACAGAGGGCTTTCGAAGCCTTGAAGGAATTGTTTACGGCGGCTCCTATTCTGAGCCACCCTGATTCGTCCTTGCCATATATCTTGGAGGTGGACGCATCCGAGAATGCGGTCGGGGCGATCCTGTCCCAGAGGAAGGGCATCAAAGAACTCATGCACCCAGTGGCTTTCTTCTCCAGGAAACTGACTCCTGCGGAAAGGAATTATGATATCGGGGATCGGGAGCTCTTGGCGATTAAGGTGGCACTAGAGGAATGGAGATACTTGTTAGAAGGGCGGTACACCCAATATTGATTTTTACGGATCATAAGAACCTAGAGTATCTGAGGACAGCTAAACGTCTGAGGCCACGTCAAGCCAGGTGGGCGCTGTTCTTTTCACGGTTCTTTTTCCATATAACCTATAGGCCAGGGTCCAAGAACACAAAACCAGACGCGCTCTCCCGCATGTTTGGGGATCCCGAAGAGAACCCCAAGCCAGACACTATCCTGTCCCCAGGAAATTTCTTAGTTCTCCAATCGGAGCTCCATTCTCAACTGCAGACCGCGTCCGTAGGAATGCAAGGTCCACCTGGGGTTCCCTTACTAAATAGGGAAGGACTTTTTTGGAAGGAGGATCAGATTGTGGTCCCTGAGGAGGCCCGTACATTGGTATTAGGATACTGCCACGATCACCCGCTGGCCGGGCACTTCGGGGTACGTAAGACCTTGGAGCTGCTGCAGCGTACTTTCTGGTGGCCTAATATGGCCAGGGAGTGCGAAACCTACATAAGACCTGCCCCGTGTGTCAGAGAAACAAACCCACTAGGAATAAAGCTTGGGGTCTCTTGCGCCCATTACCCATTCCCGACAGGCCATGGACCATGATTTCCATTGACTTTATCGTGGAACTTCCACCTTCTCAGGACCACACAGCAATCTTCGTGATTGTGGACCGCCTGTCCAAGATGGCCCATTTTGTACCCTTAAAGGACACACCTACGGCCCTTGAAACAGCACGTGTGTTTATTAAGGAAGTAGTAAGACTCCACGGAATTCCCAGGGACATTGTATCTGACAGAGGGGTTCAGTTTACGTCCAGGTTCTGGAAAGCTCTATGTGAAACCCTGGGGATTAAGTTATCGTTCTCTTCTGCTTATCACCCACAGACCAATGGCCAGACGGAGCGTACAAACCAGACCCTAGAGCAGTACCTCAGGTGCTATACCACCTTCCTCCAAGATGACTGGGTTACTCTCCTGCCGCTTGCGGAATTCGCATATAATAATGCAAGTCACTCTGCTACTAGACAGTCCCCGTTTTTCGCAAACTATGGGTTCCACCCTGTATTCCTGCCAGATCTAATCCCAGAGGTCGCAGTCCCAGCCACGCAGGATATGTTGACCTTTCTGTCAACCAATAGCAAGGTATTGCAGGAAGCAATGGCAAAGGCCCAGGATGACAACAAGAGGGCGTTTGATAGGAAGAGAAGAGGGGAATTGAGTTTGCGGCCAGAGGACCAGGTTTGGTTGTCCACCGCAAATTTAAAAATGTCCTGCCCTTCAAAGAAATTGGCTCCCAAGTTCTTGGGGCCTTTCCGGGTCAAACGTAAGGTCAACGAGGTGGCATACGAGCTGGCACTGCCCGAATCTATGAAGGTTCATCCGGTCTTCCATGTGTCCCTGTTGAAACCGGCAACTCCAGACCCCTTCCCGGATCGAAGGTCTAAGCCACCGGAGGCAGTAGACGTGGATGGGGAGGAGGAATTTGAAGTTGAAGCTATCTTAGATTGCAGGAAGAGGGGAGGCCAAACTCAGTTTCTGGTTAAATGGAAAGGATATGGGGCAGAGGAGAATTCATGGGAGCCGGCCCAAAATGTGCACGCCCCAAGGCTTGTGCGGGAATTTTTTTTCGGAACCAGCCGTTGAGTAGGGGTCGGTTGGGCATCCGGAGGTTGCCCGTAGGGGGGGGGGCAATGTCAGGGATCCCGGGTCCTCGGCGGCGCGCGCGCATGCGCAGACCGCCGATCCGTCCCAGCCGGCGAGCGCAGAATCCTCGGCGATCGCGGCGGCCGCGCATGCGCAGTAGCGATCGCGGCCGCACCAATGGGAGAGCAGGGCGCCCTATTTAAAGCTGCCTGTGCATCTCCAAGTTGCCGCAAGGTCTCGTTCCTGTTCCTGTAAGTACGCTTCTTGTTGCCAAACTCTGCCTGTCCTGTTTATGCTGACCTTCTCCTGCTCTGACCCCGGCTCGTCCCTGACCATCCTTCTGCCTGACCTCCTGCACCGCGCTGCCCGCTACCTGCTGAACCTGGCTTGTGACCCCGACCATTCTCCGCTTACTCCCCCGTACCACGCTGCCCGCACAATACCGACCCGGCTAGTCTGACCTCGCCTACTCCTGATAGCTGCCCATCCATCCCGCTCGGATCAGGATCTGTCATCCCATCCATCCCGCTCGGATCGGGATCTGTCATCCCCTTCACAGCAGGCTCTACCCGGGCACATACCCTCAGCGGGACCCCTCTGCCACCGCCGGGGGTGCCCAGGGACGCGACCTGGTTTCAGTTTTGCACCAAGTCCATCCCCACCATCAGGGGCCCTGGTGAAAAGGCAGACTGGGACTTAGACTCCGCATCCTGGGAAACCCCGTGCCGTGGACCACTAGAGATCCCGTTGGGCGGAGCCTGGACCCTAAGGTAGAAAATCAGCCCCAAACCATAGTGCTTCCTCATCATGCTAGTGTAGATAGGTGATAAGTGATACTAAAGTCTTGGTTTTTCTTTTTAAAGAAAAAAAACCATGTCATACTTACCTGCTCTGTGCAGTGGTTTTAGAGCAAACAGCTTGCTGTTGAGGCACCCGAGCAGGGGCACGCCCAAGCCACAGCTCAGCGCATCCATTCACACACAGAGCAGTGGCTCGACCCTGCCACCTTCTTCTCCTGTTTGGCTCACTGGCTGTGGTTGACAGCAGTGGGCTTTCTGGACCTTTCATGAGTAGAGGCTGCTGAGAGATCTTAGAGACCTCATGTGCTAGCGAGTAAGATGTGTGTTTGCTAAGGGGGACATTGGCTGGTGTCCTGAAGAGCTTAGTCTGCCTAGTTCTCTGTCAAGAGACTGATCTTATTTGCTCTTAAGATTGAAGCCTGTTTGCTTTTAGTGTTCTACTACAAGCCAAGTCCACAGTTTGCTATATGCAAGGACTTCTGCTTCAGGCCTACAGAAAGGAGTGCACTGTCCTCAATTTGTACATACTTCCTGTTTTTGGAATATCCCAATTAATTCCTCCAAGTTAAAAAGTTATTAAAAGCACAGGCCTAATCAGCAGCTTGTTTCTCACTATGCAAATGTGGGTTGCCTGGCTGTCATACTGACTCTTTGACAAATAAGGTCTTTGACTTTTCTGAGACAACAGTGTTGCTAAGTCATCCTGTCAGCTATTTTTTGTTATTTTGAACAACTTGTCTAAAACAATTCATAGACTATGAAGCATAGAAAACTGAGAAGTACAAATACATGTCACATACCAGCTCGCTGTTCATGGTGGAGAAAAAAGGAGGTCGATCATTGAAGAATGACAGGATGCATTGGATGAGGACCAGCACAAAATATGACAAGAAAAGTGCATAACGCATTCTGTCAATCTCTGCTGTCTGCACAAAACAGAATAGAGGACATAGAATTAGACTGTATTACATTAAAAAATAATAACCTGTTAAGATATGACAAGGTGGGCTTAGAATCATAAATCCTCCAGAGAATGACCACGTTCCAGAGTGGAACCTTCCTATCCTCAAAGGTACGTACATGTCATCCCTTCCAAGCTTAAAAAAGGGGTTTATTTCTCATTTAAAAAAAAACAATTTGTGGCCCAGGATTCAACTATGCACCCAAAGCCACAGGATATAGGCTATTTTATGTGATAAACCAGGACTTTGGGATACATCAAGGTTCTTCATGAAGTTTCAGTGGTGGCCCCACCTACTATCTTTAAATCAATAATATATTACATCTAGCTCAATAAGGATCCAATTGGATCAAAACCTTGCCTTACATTAGTATTTGAATTAATTAACAGAGTTGTATTCATTCTCATTGTGCCCTTTGCAAACATAGTGAACTTCAAACTTAAAAGTGTTAGACATTACTATGCAGGATTTTTTAGATGATGTGATCCCACTACACTTGGGGCAACCCAGATTGCTTGATAATTAAAGCTGTTGCTGTAGAAATGCAGTATGTTGATACAATGCAGACAGGTGGCAGAACTATCTGTCCTTTAAAAATAACCTTCAGTGAAACCTTGAAGATGAATCTTCTACCAAAGCTACAAGATGCTGGGCATGTGTGTGAAGGGGGGAATCCTCCACAGAACTCATTATTAACTAAGAACATTCCAAGCATGGAATTCAGCGAGTTGGGCACTGATCCAGGTTCTTCCACATTAACGGAATGTAATTGCGAAAGAAAGTAGGGAGAAACATACCCATTAGAAATGCAGGAAACTGATACACCCTGGATGTTATTCCAACGAAAAGATCCTGGTCCTACTCAACTCTGTACAACAGTTAAAATTGTATAACTTTTTGGTTGTTAATTCTTGAGGTGATTAAAGCCATATTAGTGCACTTGCAACAGAAACAATTAAGTACTGTCTGTGATACTTTTTTTATCTTCACTAACATACATTTTTTCAGGACAAGCTTTTGAGGTGAAGAGGGGGTACACCCCAAAACCTTGTCCTGAAAAATTGTATGTTAGTGCAAATAAAGTATCACAGACAGTACTCAATTGTTCTGGCTGTTCAATAAAAGTTTATTAAAAATGTCTGTTCCATTGTTTACTTCGATTCATGAAAACGTCCTCTAAATACTCTAAAGTTCTTCTACCGGATTTAAAATGACTGATTTCTCATTTACCTGTGAAAGAGCAGTTGTGATCTTAGTTCGAAGCTGGAAGACTGAACATATCAGAACCAAGATCCAGAACACCAACAGGAGAGCTGATGACCGTACACCTTTCATCCTCTCATACTGAATAAGACATGCGGCAAGAAGCTGTTATTGTAAAAATAAAAAAAAATGAGAATACACTTTGGCAATGCAGGAATGCATTTTATCATCAGTAGTGCTTTATATAGTTTTTCAATTCTACATCTTTGAACACAGTTCCAATGCTGTGAAATCAACTACTGGGAGACCAACTTTTGGGAATGTCAATCCATTGCATCTCTCATTGGTTCCTTCTAAGGAGCACCACGCAATGCAGGATACAGTAGTAATATGGAGCAGTAGAACCACAGATCGCTGCAGGAGACCCAGGAGATTGACCATCCTGGAAGTGTCAATCCTAGGGCTCGTTCACATGTGCGGCAATACCCTGTGTTTAAGCTGTGTTTGAGCACTGTTTTTAAAGCCTCTTACTTGCCCTTCAATGCCTACCATGAAAATTATATGTTATGCGAACCACAGAATTCAGTATACACATGTGCAATAGTGTTGCGTTAAAAATTAAGCAGCATGCTACTTTCAGGAGGCAATGCTGCTTCTCAGCCGCCTCCATGAATTTCAATGGTAGTGCTCTGTAACTGCGCCTTACTTGCACTTATAGCATTTACGGGAGTTTAAATGAAATGTTTACACATCAAGAACAATAGTAACCTGCAAGTAGACTTAATGTTTGTAATAAATATTGTACGTGAAACGTGCTTTAAGCCTCAAAACAATCTGGGATCCAAAATGGCTGTGTACAGTTGTGTATCAAATGGGTATGCAGGTATTCCCAGCAGGTGATAGGATGTTTCACTTTAAACCAGAGCTCAAAAAACCGAAGAAGAAGAAATACACACCCGTAGCAGCCATCTCGGATCCCATATTGTTTTGAGGCTTCATTAGCCCTAGTAATAAGGGCCTAATTTTAAGGTGTGCATACATCCATTGAGTATTCCTGGTGGCATTCCTGTGTGTGACTTTTTGGGTTAATTTTTCTCAATGGAGTTTTAAATCCAAAACTGGCCACAGATAAATTTGCATGGATCACTAGTGAACATGAACCTTTATGAACTTGGTTTGTTGATGTTCGTATTAATTGGTTGTGCGCATCATTTGTACTTTTTATATTGATCATTCACAGATAAGCTCACATGGATCACACGTGAATACGAGTTTATATGTTCTTTATTTATTACAAGGTTTATATATATTTTTTTCTTTTCTTCTTACACTCAATGCTTACGTGAATTTGTTGCTAGTGACAGGGTGCTTTCGGGTTCAAAGCTAACATTTTGGTTCTAGCCTCAGTATATACAGTGCTCAGCATAAATGAGTACACCCCAACAGATTTGTCAGAAAACCTTTACTTTCTTTTCAGAATCAACATTTTCTATGGGACACTATACTACAAAATACTCCCACAAATGCAGGCCATTGATTGCAAAGAAGATTTGTTAATTTGCACACACAAAGTATTTTTCCTAACAAATTCATTCAAGACCACGTTGCAAAAATGAATACACCCCAATGAGCAAAGCTAAATTTTAGACAACAAAATCCTAATTCACAAGAATTCAACTATAGGTGAGCCTAATTATTCATTAAACAGATGTCCAGCAGACAGTTGATTATAAAAGGATGTTACTTAAAAGAGAAAACCCCTTCCCAATAATTTTTTACACAAAGCTTTACTTATCAGTCAGAATACTGTAGCAAAAATTATACAAAAATGTAACAAAATGGAACTGCAACCATCTCACAGAGACGTCCAGGCCACCCACAGAAGTTAACACCTCGACAGGAGCATCTTCTAATGAGAAGGGCTGAAGAAAATCACCATGCAATTTCACTGCAGTTAGCTAAAGAAGTAAAAAGCCAAACTCCACAAACGAAGCCTCTCCTAAAACCCATGCACAAATAACCCACCTAGGATTTGGCAGGGCCCATGCTGAAAAAGAAGACAAATACTTGGACTCTGTACTCTGGAGTGATGAGACCAAGATAAATGTTTTTGGAACTGATAGCTTCAAAACGGTATGGTGTTGCAAATGTGCGATGTACAAAGAAAAATGCATAGTGCCTACAGTGAAACATGGTGATGGCAGTATCCTTCTGTGGGGCTGCATGAGTGCTGCTGGTGTCAGGGAGCTGCATTCCATTGATAGTATCATGAATTCACAGATGTACTGCTCTATGCTGAAAGAGAAGGTGCTACCATCTCTCCATGCTCTTGGTTGTGGTGCACTTTTCCAACATGACCATGATCCAAAACACCCATCTAAGGCACTGTTGCATTTCTGAAGAAGAACGGGGTGAAAGTGATTCAGTGGCCAAGTATGTCTCCTGATCTTAACCCAATCGAACACTTATGGGGAATTCTGAGGAGACAAGTTGAGCATCACTCTTCATCCAGCATCCAAGCTCTAAAAGAGCTCATTCTTGAAGAATGCAAATAGATAGATGTTGTAATATGTCACCAACTTGTTCATTCCATGCCTAGGAGAATCGGTGCTGCCCTTACAAAACATGGAGGTCACACAAAATACTAGATGGAGTAGTTTTTGTTGTGGGGTGTATTCATTTTTGCATCAACTAATCTGAGTAAAACTAAAGATTTTGTAATCTGAATTATATTATTAACCTTACGTTCATGTAATGAGTTCAACAGATGTTCTATAAAACTCAGTTTTGTCAAAATTTTGGAAATTGTTCTTGTGTTCATTGAGATATTGATTAAAATCTTACTTTTCAAAAGGGGTGTAGTCATTTATGCTGAGCACTATTTTAAGTCACTACCTGGAAAAAAATATGCAGGATGATGTCTGAGCTTATCAGATGTCTCCAGTGGCATGCTTTTTTCAATTCAGTAGAACTGATAACCAGATAATGAAACCAGGATCAGGATGCTGATAATTGAGCAAATGTAGCACCATAGTTATGTCCTCACTGGGTCAGTTTATGGAAGTCTGTGTTACAAACTGATAGAGGATGGGCTAATCAAGGTCATGCTCCAAAAATGAGCACAGAGGGAGAGGTAATTTGCTCTCAGAAAAGAAATGTCACAATCATTATGGAACTTGCATCAGTCTTTATTTCTCACAAACAAACTATAAAGTGATCAGGAAAGAACTGAAAGTGTGCTTTGCATTACCATTGTGGCTCCAACAATTAGTGGACTGATAAGGAGCACTGGCGGTTCTGGGAAAATTATGTGTCATGTTCCACACAGTGTAGAAAAGGTCTGTATAACAGATTAATGCCAGCAATGCAGCAAGACACTACAAAAAAAATAAACAAGTGTTATTACCCTAAAAAGTCAGGTTTCAAGTATTATTAACAAGCTCAGCAGTAAGAATATGAATCCAACTAGACAGAAAATATAAATAGAGAATCATGTATAGTATTTATTATTGGCATTATGCATCTTTTAATATTCTGTTTCCTAAACCATACAACAGAAAATGTGTTTGAATCCCTGCCAAACTCTGAGGGATGCATACTGGTGGGATGTAGCTCCATGTAAAGACTGTTTTTACATTTGCACTAAACCCAGGAGAGTACCAAGCAGAGAAATGCATGTTGGCTCCTATTCACAGCCTGATCATTCTAGTAACAGCACTGTTTACCAGTTCATTGCCCTGCATGGATTGTAGACACAGAGAACTTGGTTTTATGAACACAAATAAAGGCAAACATACATATTTTGTTTTATTGCTTAAAGGTAAATGGGTTCTGTTGTGGGAAGAATAAGCTTTGTCCTTGACAGATTCTAGTAAATCAACGGTTTGATTTGTTTTAGAGAGTTGTCACAGGTGTTTATAGGCAGGGAGTCAGCAGGCTGCAGAAAAAGAGAACATTGCAGTATGATTGCATCAAGGCCTTCATTTATTTGAACGTAAAGTGGTTGTAAACCCTTACATGTACCCATTGAAGTGTCTAGCCTCAGGTGATACACAGAGATGAAACAAGTCCTCCTACACAAGTTGTACCTGATCTTCAATCTTCTCTTCTCTAAGACCAATCAAATGACAGTATTTGTACAGCTTGTCTGAGCTTTCAGAAAACAGTGGGCAGGGAGCTGAAGTTACGCTCAGTGAAGAGAACTGTGAGCTGATTGGAGGGAAAGGAAACACCCCCTTCACACAATACACAGGAATACAGCTGGGGCTGTCAATCACAGGCTGTGTGCTGAAGATCCCTCCACTGTCATCTTTTTACCTCTTGGTTTCAGAAAGACTTGTCATAAGTGACTCATGCAGATAGCAGAGGAATGACGGAGCAGACAAAAATGACACTTAGTGCTCTGGATTTAGACACACTATAGAGGGATTTAGGCACACTATAGAGGGTTATGCTTTGTTTGTATTTTATGTCTGAGGTTTAAAACCACTTTAAGTCACAATGTTATATTTCTGCTACTTAGGAGCCAGGAAGCCAATGCACCTACTGATGTATGTATGTATGTATCAGCTCTTAACCCTCCCTCTTTTGGAGTCAAACCCTAATGTCCCTCTTTCAGCCTCGGTTTATCCTTTTGGTCTGATGTATAGACCCTTATAAATAATTTACTTTTTATAATATAATAATAGTATCATACAGTCACTCCACACAAAAACAAGTTAATCTATAGGTAGAACTTGGCTGAGATAGCCAATATCTTGTATATGTTGCACGTTATAACAATGTGACCATGATTCCTTACACTGTCTCTGTTCACCTGGTAGTTTTTTAGGTGTTTCTGCCCATCTTTGTGAGTTCCAGCACCTACTGTTTTCTTTTTCATTCCTTGTAATATAAAATAAATACAAAATCCAGCAGAGCAGAGTGGGAACCCGTCATTATGGCCACAGCAGCTGTGCAGACACTGGATTTCACTGATAAAGACCCTAGGAGATATACATAATCTGCAGGTGGTTTGAACCTCCAGCAGCTATGAGGTAGGTAGGTATCAATTTTGATGGGCTGACCCTTTAGAACAAAGCTTTCTAGCTTCTACAAAATTGTATTTCTAATTTTTAACACTAGTACAATAAAGATGGTATACAAAAAGCAGTAGGCATTACAGATTTTTGTGCATATCAATGATGAATTAATTTCCTAAGTATTTTGAAGAGGGTGCCCCTCTAAACACCAGAGGATACAATGTGTATTTTGTTGCTGTCAACTGAAAGTACATATTCCCTGCCACTGCATGCCCTGGCTGGTTCCAACATTGTGCAATAATGTAATAATAAAAAAACAAACAACAGATCGCTAGCTGTTACGCTTTTCTTAAAGATAAACCAATCAAATGTGAAGGTGAACTTACTAATTCAATGATGTATGTAACTATAATGTCACATATACGTGTCACTGTAAATTTCTTAGTTTGCTGAATAAGTAGATTTTTAAGTGAAACTCTCTGCCTATAAAGTCAAAGTAGTGTAAAACAAAGTTGAAAGGCCTCTAGGTAATAGATCTATAAAAGTATAGTGATTCATACATAAACACACATTTTACTTTATATATTTCCAAAGCATTGCTGAAAAGAGACAGTGACTTTATTACAGTTCAAGAAGCTTAGAAAAATGTCATTGAAGAATACCTACAGTCTTTGCTTTACAGAGTATTGACATCCTTATGTAACCTTGACCATGACGTATGAGGTAGAAAATGTAGAATGGAGAAGAGATAAATAGATAAAAACAGGGTATCCAGTATAAAACGGTTTTATGAAAACACCAGGAAAAGTCAGGATTGTTGGTGTTCCAAGTCTGATTCACATCCTGTCAAAATAAAACAACACTGTGAGAATTACAAATCATTACACATTAAGGCTGGTTGCACAGAAATTTTCTTAACGCAATTACCCACTTTGTTACAGTCTAATGCAATTTTTAGGTTTGAAAAATGTGGGGCCACTGACTATTACATTATTTTTTCCTTTGCATTAAAAATTTTTACATCCTTCTGCCTCCTAGATTGTAAACTCGAAAGAGCAGGGCCCTCGATCCCCTCATGTTTTGCATTGTATTGGTATTGTTCTGTCACATGTTCTGTCCCCCTTTGTAATGTACAGCGCTGAGCTTTGGTGTACCATTGGTGCTTTATAAATACTGTATAATAAATAATAATAATAGTTTTGATATATTATTATTATACAGGATTTATATAGCGCCAACAGTTTGCTCAGTGCTTTACAATATAACGGAGACAATACAGCAAAAATACAGTTTAATACAAGAGGGATAGGAGGGCCCCTGCTCCTTGGAGCTTACAATCTAAATAGATATTAATATCCCTTTAAGCAGAGCTCTGGAGGATTGTTTGACAAAATAGTTAAAAAGAAAAAAACATTCAATGCCACAGTAACACTTTCAAGAGGAAGCCCTATCATCCTTTTTTTGTCTTTCATCTTGGGAACTTCTTAACAAGTCTGTTACATGAGAGGCTCCATAGCATGAAGGCATCTGGTGCTCTACAATCCCTAGCAGACCACAAATCAGTCTTATCTCTCCTGCCTTGCAGTTTCATTTTCTATCTAATTATTCCAGACTTGTTGTCCCTGTTAACCTCACACAAGGCCAGTGATGACTGCAATTGGAAAGCAGCTAGAACATCTCAGTCATAAAAAGAGCTCCGTATGAAGTCCAGGATTTATCGAGGCTCCTAAGCATTGTGTGTTTGGTAACCTTCACTAAACCATGCCAATACAAAACAAGTGTTTACATTGCAATCTGATTTTATCTTTTCAAGGACTAGAAGGGACAACTGGGGATCAGGCATGCAATGAGACTGCAAGTCACACACACAATCTGATTTTAAAATCTCCATCACTGCATCTCCTTTAAGCTGCCCATACACACATAGATCTCTTTTGATCAGCCTGTGGGATGAATGAAAGAAATCTGACTTCTCCTTCCACGCTAGAGAGTGCGAATGAACAAATCACTGCTGGTATTGTATTATGACAGCTGGCATACCCGATGAGATACAAGCACCTTTCTCCAATTTTCCGCCTGGATCCTTCAATTTTTAAATAGAATGATGCTGGAAGCAGTGGTGCCAACAAAAAACCATCCACTGACCAAATATTGGCTGCTCATTAGGAGTATATGGTCAGCTTAGGGCCCTGTTCACATTACGTGATCCGGAATTGCGGGCATAATCACTGCGACTCTACCTGCAATTCCAAGTCGCAGCAAAACGTGCTATGCACATTTGGGTGTCAATATTCCTAATGGCACCCCAAATGCAGTGCAAATCCGCCGCGATTATCGTGTGGCAATACGCGACTTTAAAAATTGCGCCAAGCTCGTTGCTAAAAAAGGAGAAGGAGCTTCTTTTGGACAACAAACGCAGATACGGCAGCACATTGAAGTAAATGGGCTGCCCCATATGCAAAATCGCAAGCTGGAACACTCGTTACCACTACACGATATGTGCATGGGTTCTAAGTTCTACCAAAAATCATGCAGCACAAGGAACGACTTCAACAATCCACCTCCTACTGGGGTTGATTTACTAAAACTGGAGAGTGCAAAATCCATGAATAACGAATGCACTTGAAATATCAAAACAGAAAACTAATATATAGCAATCTTCCAAAAAAAAAAAAAACTGCACAATTTTTCAAATCCACCCAGACCAACGAATATACAAAATAAATGCTAAAAATACAAAATGAATTTGAAAATGAATTGGTTTAACATAACGAACATGACGAAATGAAATTCTGCAATGAGCACTTTTAGGAGTGCACGTGTTTTAATTGCTATGTTTAGCTACAAATTGCTGAAAGACAGTAGTATTACACAGAGCAGCCGCTTATCTCCTCTTCTGGGGTCCCCTGCTGGTGCTCTCCACTCCTACTATTCTGTGTGTGCCCCTATAGCAAGCTACTCCTATGGGGACAAACATATGGACACGCTCAAGAGCCAGGCTGTTTGCCTCCATAGACACACACACAGTGTAGCTCAGCCGCTCCCTGTTTCCTCCTCACGGGATTTGACTGACAGCAGAAGAAGCCAATTGCTCCTGCTGCTCTCAAAGTCTCTTGTGAGAGAAGGAAGTGAAGAGAGGACTCGGGAAAATGTTTGGTGGGGGGAAGGGGGGCACACAGCAAGTGCTAAAATGTTTTTTACACTACTGAAGGAAATGCATTAAGGTAAAAAACATTTTAACTTTATTACCACTTTAAACTTGTAGCTGGGGAGCAGTAACCACCCCCCTATAAGATGCAAAGGCAGCTGGATGTTGGTTTACACATGCATTGTCAGCCACAGCAGAAATTATCCCCATTGTCACATTTAGCGGGAGGTACTACTGCTGAGCATGACCCATTCAAGTGAATGGGGCCACGCATTTGCATTGTTAAAACAGGCAACATAATGCCTCCTGGTGGCCTTTCAAACACCTCTGAGAGGAAATACATTGTGGAATTATATTCAGAGTTGCAGCAGTGATGGTCACATGTGTAAACTTTGCCTTGAGGTTTACATTTGCACTGGCAGGCAGAAATTCCAGAATTCGTTTTTCACTTCCTAAAGTGGTTGTAAAAGAAGGTTTCTTACCTTGCAGTGTAGTTTCCCCTGCAACCCCCTCCCCCCAGTTTATACTCACCTGAGGCTGATCTCAATTCAGTCATGGGCATGTGAGCAGAAACTCTAACCAGGTCTCCCTCCTCATTGGCTGAGACACAGCAGCAGGAGCCACTACCTCCCACTGCTGTCAATCACAGCCAGTAAGGATGGATCGAGGGGGGTGGCCCAGCCTTGCTCTGTGTTCCTTATGGACTCACAGAGGAAGCTCAGGAGCGAGCATGCACAAGTGCACCCAAAGCAAACAGAGAGGAGGAGAATTGGGGCTGCTCTGTGCAAAACCATTGCACAGAGCAGGTAAGTATGACATATTTGTTATTTGGATTAAATTCAGGTACTTCAAAATGAGGGATCTGGGTTGTCTTCCTGACCCAGTTTTAAAAATTATTTAATTTATTTATCTAGGTTTCTGCTTGCTATTTACCTTGCAAACATTATATGCTTCTAAAATTATTACATAGTGGAAAAGACATTATAACAGACTGTGTGCATGAGCCCTTACTGTGTCAACAAACTGACATATATTTACTTACAAATGCGCTGGATCTTGGCACCAGAAGTTGGCAGAGGAATTCAGTGTAAACAAATGCATGTAACTGCATGTAAAGTAATTGTGTGTATTGTCATAAATGTGCGTACAGCTTTTACAAGCTCAAGAATTCTTCTTCTTCTTCTGCTGCTTGCCAGGTAAATTTTTACTTTAAGTATATTTTTAGATACATTCTGTATCCTTCAAACTGGGGCCTCTTTGACTCCAGAACAGTACAATATCCCATTACACAGAGTTCAGTCCTAGTATTACGGCATTCCAAAGTGGATTAAAGCTGTTCTGGAAGCAGGTGGCACTATATTCCTTATTGTTACCATTAGTATAATATATACTTAGGTGCTTCCATTATTTTGGCCCCTTACTGTAATTATAGGACTCACTGTACTGTGACTAGAAATGGTGATTGTCACGATCGCCTGATCACCGCCACCAACATGCGACAATCGTTCGACCGCGACCAACAATAATACGTCACGCCCACGGTGTCAGACCCCAGACCTTCTCACCAGACTCGTGACCAAAGGATCGGCCGATCTAAAACCGCGGTGTGACGCGCGTAACAAGGCCACACCCAGCTGCTGCACCCTGCACAGCGATTGTCCAGCTACTGGGCTACAATCGGTGCATGCAGCCTGAATGCATTTGTTACTGGGTCTGGTTAATTACGCAACTAACCCTCTACCTGCCACCACCACTTTTGTCGGAGACTGGGAAACTCCCGTTATCAAACGTACACTATAATGATTGAAATATTAATCTATATAACACGGTCCGCAGGCCTGTTATACAGAGATTATAACAAACATTAGCGCCTTTTCAATGGCAGGAATTCGTGAATTGCAAGTAAGCGCTTAAAAACAGTTGAACACTTCCAGAAAGAAAGATTACGAAAAGAGTCAAACATGTGCAATAAAATATTTACAGAAAAAGATGTAACTAAGATATATATTTATATATAGATAAAGACCCACTGTCAGGGATCCCCTCGATCCCTGCCGCGATGGTCCCGGCGCAGGCGCACTGCTCCGCCCTGTGCAGGGACACGGGCACTAGGTCCGGGCCGGCCGCGGCGTTCGAGTTCGCGCATGCGCAGTAGAAGCCGCGGCCGCCCGCTGGGCACCAATGGCAGCGCAGGGCGGGATATTTAAATGTCCCTGAGCTGTCATTTCGTTGCCTTCTGGTCTTACCTGCTTCCTGTGATTCTGAACCTGTGCCTTGTAAGTTATTTGACCCGGATTGTTCTTGACCTGCTGATTTCTCCTGCCCAGACCCTTGCTTTGCCTGACCTCTCTCCCTGGATGCCCCTCATTAGATCTGACCTACTGTTGCTGACCTGGCGTGTGACCCAACGATTCTCTGCCTGCTCCCTTGTACCTTACCGTCCTCTACGTTACCAACTCGGCCTGTCTGACTTCGCACTTGCTCAGCCATCCATCCCATCGGGGTCACCCGACCTCCTCACATCTGGCTCTCCCTGGTTGGAGCCCCTGGCGAACACCCCTACCAC